GAGCTTAAGAGCCAGCGTTGGCTCGATCTAATCATTAAGCATATTCGCCCAGTACTGGCTACTACTGTCGTACCAATATCGAGCCTCGTTTGCCGATATTGACCCAATACTGGGCCGTTCGTCAATTCCTACAAGGGTCGTAGGTCATTTTTGATGTCTGGCACCGAAGGGTTAAGAGAGAGAGAATTTTTAACGGCTAATTAGATATAGATTGACGGTTAAATAGTTTGAGCTGTTTCAAAAAAACACAAAGTATCCTCACGCGACAAAGTTAACTTGTGTTTTATTGATAAAAATAGTCGCTCTGACAATAAAGATATTTGCTTCGGTTATTAATAAATTTTCGAGTTCGTTTTCCGAATTAGAGAGAGGAAAATAAAACTTGTAGACTCAGAAATCAAATACAACGGCGCTCGATAAAAACGATAATAAAACATAAGAGCGCACGAAAAATATTTTAGAGAAAATATTTAAACAAATTTGCGTACACAAAGCACATAACAGTTAATTAATCATCGAGACAATCGCATTTCGAGAAAGCGATTCGCGGTTGAACGCTCATGGGAATTCTTTTAAATCGTCGCCCCATCGTTTGTGTCACGACCCGGTCGTTACTTTTCGCATTAGCGACGCTACGTCGGTTGTGTTTTCGTTGGTCGCGCGTGAAAACTCTCTCCCATTTAAGGATTTAATATTGTGAGCGCGGTGGCCCGCCTGGCATCTAAATGCGACGGCAACGACGAACAGTCCGATTTGCGGTCTTGTGTGTAGCCGACCGGTTAAGAGTTGTCGCGTGACGAGCTAACCGTAAGTTCCCGCGCGTGGGGCAAGAAAAAGTAGGTACCTGAGGGAGTAACGAAGCGTTCTTTCGTTCTCTGCTGCTGCTTTTCGTTCAGCCAGGCGTGGCCCCCGGGAGTCATTGACGAGCACCGAGCCATGCCGCGCGTTCGACCGTTAAGCGGTCGATCCATAGATATATTATTCGATATCACGAAGGCGCGCCTCTCTTTGATACGGTTCAAGGTAATTCTTTCGTATAATCGTTCGAAAAATCCAACGGAACTCGAGTCTCTCTCTTTCTCCCCCCGTTACGATCTTAACCTTTAACGGACGGCTGCGCTAATGAATTTTGTTCTAACGTTAACCTCCGGTTAACCCTCTTCAACACATTATCTCTCTCTCTTTTCTATTTTTGTTAATCAAACAACGTTAGAAATTCAGTAAATTTACATGTAAAATCAAGATATTGATTTTTTTTTTAATATTTGTCCGATATAGATTGATAAAAAATATATCTAAATTTATTTATCCAAATTTTGAATGTTATATTGAGGATTATATATCTTTTCGCGCGAATATATATTTTCGTTAAAAAATAAGAGCGATGAAGAAGCGTTATGTGTCAGGTCTTTTTGTCTCTGTTTGCATTATGGATATTTAAGTTGGAAAGATAAGGGCAAATCGTTGAGCTAAATTTATATACGTATAATCAGAGGATTATATCGCCCCAAGTTAGAGTGAATATTCCCGGCTTTTCGGCAAAGCTCTTCACGGAAAATATAATTCTCTTACAGTGATTTTATATATATATATACATAAAATATATATATACATATATATATATATATATATAAACTGAGAGAGATATCGCTCTCTCCATTTCTCCCCCATTTCTAAACTAGGTTTCATTTCCGACTTCGTTACAGGCACCAATTAAAGGGTACGGTGAAAAATATTGCCAGGGGATTACTATTTATTCCCTAACAGTCTGAGTGTTGCAATAATATACCGCATTTGCAGCACACGTTTATATCGTGCGTTTCCGCGAATTTTCGACAACGTCCAATTGCGACACAGTCAGCGAAAACCTTTTCAGATATTTTGGTATTATAATTCAAAAAAAGAAATCAAACAAAAAATTTCAAACTCAGCATTCACAGACGCTGCGTTTTTGTGAGAAGCTTTTGATTTTACTTGCAACAGCATTATTTGTGTGATAAAGTGCGTATTTGTGTAATTCTGAATTTAATTAAAACAGATTTAATGGAATAGCAGTATGTTTTCTCGAATAACGCGAAATATAATATTAATTAAAAATTGATATATTATCACCTAATGTTTCTCTTATCAAAAATGCATTTATATATCGTCACTCCCTACGTATAATTACATAAGTGTCACATATGGGATTTTCAGTTTATTGCATAATGACACTTAGAAAGTTTTGTTCTTTATGGTCACCAAATATTAAAAAAAAATATTCATAAATAAGGTACAAATTTGAAACCAAAAGATCCCTAACTATAGGGAAACATATGAAGCTTTATACTTTTAAACTGCTCTCCTCTAAAATTTGCGTTTTGGAGTTACGGGATTATACGTAGGGAGTGACGATATCTTCAGTGTATGAATGATAAAATGTATTTATATGTACATTCAAATTATAGCAAATACTTTTTAACATATCAGAAAAAATATTAACGAAAAGATTTTGAAAAATTGAACATTATTTGAATATTAATTGCCGAAATTCGGACCGTTAGTCTCGCAAGTATCAAGTTAAGTATTTTGCGCGTAGTTAATAAACTCTTCTCTCTCGTTCTCTTTTTCTCTCGATACCTTCCCTTTAACTGTTTTTTTTTCGGTCCGGTGATGTCGATTGGGATCACATAAATCACGTCTCGCGCGCGCAAATTTATGTAATCCAGAAAAAGTAGAACAATTTTTCTCTCTCGACCTCTCGGCGTTCACAATAAGAATATTGGAGAAACCGCATGAGAAGTGTTCAAGGAGATCTGTAACTTATAGTTATAAAAAATACACATACAAAGCTAATTTTGATTTAATTATTCTCTCAATTATTTTGTCAGTAACATGTATCCTCGCGACAAATGTGCAAACATTTCATTTGCGTAAAGTTATATACTTGAAGTATACAATAGCAAACTTTTTGAGCTTGCTTCTATAATAGCTTGTTCTACAGAGCTTTCTTTTATAATATCCATACAAAAGACTATTTCTTTATAATGCAGAAACGGAAGAAAGCGTCGTCTCTCTCTCTCTTCCTTTCTTTGAATTACAACAATATATATATTAAAAAAAAAAAAAAACTGTTTCTTTAGATTTTTGTAGAGCGGAAGAATTAGCCTGAAGCACAATGGATGTGTGCACCGTCGAATTGATCCTCCATTGAATGTTATTATGTGGGAGACGAGCGAATTAATACGCTCGAAAGAGTTTGAGAAAACAATATCTTTTTTGATGTACGACATATTGTAATTGTACTTTTTTTTTGCGCACGCGCGCGCGCGCGCGAGGCAAGAGTTTTCCCGTCGATATAAAAACCACGAACTTCTTGCGCGTAACGAAAGCAAATGTGCGAAATAAAGTGGAAACACAGAAAACTGCCAGATTCCGTTGCGGCTATATCACTATCGCCCGTTATTACTCGGGTTAATGGTCAACGACCGGAAAATTGCATTCACATTGAAATTCCCGGCAAGGAACTATTTTACATAATGTTACGACCACGATTTGACACACGTTTAAGAATAACGAGACGAAAATAAAGATCGAAAACATTTTACGCGCCAGAATAAAAAAAGACAAAAAAAGATTTCTTTCATTGCCGAATTACGCGTGTATAAAAAAAGTAAGAATATTATTTCGAGCAGAGAGATTCAATTTTCTCTCGCGGAAATTATGCAATATCATGTTGATGCAATGATTATGTTGATGCAAAATACAACAATATGTGTGACAATAGGGAAAACAATTAGGGAAGGGAGTTGGAATAGCTCTTGTGTTAGTTAATAATCGCCATTGTTAATGTATCTCTGTCACAATTAATGCTTGCAGCCGGAAAATTGCATCGCGACGTACGAGCCGCACGCGTACTGCGTCGTCTATTCGACGACGGATCGCCAGTCGGTGCGCGTCGCAGAAGAGGTTCTCCACTCGTTGTGGCGAAGCGATCACGTGTCCGCGAGGGCGGTGATCCTCGTAGGAAACAAGATCGACCTTGTGCGCAGCCGATTGGTATCGACCGAAGGTATGACAGCAAGTTTTTGTTTTTCTTTTCCCCTCGCCCCCCTCATTTCTTGACAATCGGTTCGACGTGTTCGCGAAAAATTGCGCGGTGATTTGCAACAAAACGTAAACGCGAGTTAGAAATGGAGATCAGCGACGAACGAACGCGTGTTAGGGAAACGGGGATGTCTATTTATCATTTGTGGCATTTACCGCGCGGAAACGCTGATATAGAACGATCGTAGATAACGCAACGTACGTAAACGTGCTGTATACTGACGCAGCACCTCGGGAGGTTCACCTCGATGCAAATTCTCCGTGGGCAACGGAGCGTGGAAAAGCCATTTAACCGCCTAGCGGGGCGTAGAAATACGCTTCTGTGCCGTTAAACTAGATTGGTAGCATCTTCCTCCCAATTTCGCTTTTTTTCTTTCTCTCTCCTCTATCTCTCTCTCCGTAATACACATACCGCGCTATTAATTATGCGGCACTTGATTCTTGCGCATTTATATATACAGTTCTAATTTGACAATATAAATTTATAATTTGTATATTTCTTAATTCCATCATCGATTTGCTTACGTATTTTTTTTTTACAAATTACAGTAAGCGTGAATAATTTTTTGCTTAGAGAGAAAGAGCACGCACGCGTTGATTTAAAATTAGAAAAAAAATCATCAAAAATTGTAAATCGTACATTGTGCGCGTTAAATATTTTATCGCGTCGAAGTCGCATGTTCGCGTGAGATTCGCGATACGGAGAGGTTTTATATCTCCGGGGGGATTTATAATCGAATCTGCCATTGTAGAGGGCAAGTCCATGGCAACGTCCTACGACTGCAAGTTCATCGAGACATCGGTCGGCATCAATCACAACGTTGACGAGCTGCTGGTCGGGCTGCTCACGCAGATCCGTCTCAAACTGGAGAACCCGGAGAGGACCAGGGAAATGTTCCGGAAACGTTCGCGCAAGAATCGCAGCAAGTCGCCGCTGGGTTCGTGCTCGGAGAACAACTCGCCTAAGAAGTATCGCGGCAGTCGGACCAGCACCAGCCTGAAGGTGCGCAATCTGCTCGACAAGGTGTGGGCGCGCGACAGCAAGTCGAAGAGTTGCGAGAATCTGCACGTGCTTTAAAGCGCCAGCTATATCCGGTAATATCGATCATCCTCACGGACCAGAATGATCTGGAACAACAACGAGCCGCGGCGGGGGCAACCCTCCATTGAAACGTTTTGCCGCTCCGGAGCGGTCGTCGAAAGAACACCGGGGGGGTCAATGAGGGTGAGCACTCGTCGAGATGAAGAGAGGACCGAGATATCGACCGCGATACTCTCGATGCTTCTTCGCGGGAATGAAGAAGAGGCACGTGCGTGTACTCCAGGCTTTGTAAATGAGGTAGAGAGCGACCTTTCCAGCGGGCCGCGTTTTTCGACGTCGTTGGCGCGCTGTTAACTCTCTGCAAAGACGAGATAATCTCTCGTCCACGCTTCTCGTCGCGTAACGAAGCGTGTGGAATTCAATTATCGAAAACGATCCCGCCGAATTTATTTTTTCGCGTCGTTTTAATCCCCGCCGCAAGTCCAGCGACATTAAAAATTTCAAAAAAAAAAAAAAAAAAAAAAAAAACCAAATCCCGAGAACTACGTTTCCTCCGACGCGCGCCGTCACTCTGATTTCTCCCGCGTTTTTTTTTTTTTTTGATTCGAAAGTGTGATAACGAAATTTACCCTCCCCTTTCCCCCTCTCTTCAATTTCGCGATCGTTGGTGAAATTTTTAAAGGAAACGAGTCTCGTTGGGAGATTTTTCACGGCTTTCATAAAAAAGAAACTCGAGCGTTATATATAAATTTACAGAAACGTCCTCAATTACGAGATCCGGTAAGCGCGCGCGATCGTCGTAATTATCGTAAAACGCGTAAATATGTAGGCCACGGAGAGGGATTTTTTTTTTAAGCGCGTGTCCCGCGCGAGAATGAGAGTCGTTACCTTTTCGCGGTAACGACGTGCTCGCAAGGCAAGAAAAGACTCGTAAAATAAAATACTCGTAAAGAGTTGCGGCGCAAAAGGCGACACCGAGGGCAGCAATCGGAGAAGATTACCACCAGTGAACTCGTTATCGCCGCGCATAACGTGGAGGGAACTTTTTTTTTTTATATGGGGAATGGGAAATCGCATCGATCCTCATCGCGTCCGCTCGACAAGACAACCGCGCACAATCATCGATCGATTATGTTTAATCGCGAGCGACAAAGAAACGCGCCGCGTGTGTGAAAAAAAAAAAAAAAAAACCAAGATCCGCTCCGCAGAGACGAACGCTTGATCGTAAGAGACGCGTGCAACGCGGAGCGAAGAGAGTAGATTTCGCGAGAAGGAAGGAAGATTTTCTTTGTTATGTGATTTTTTCTCAGCCGCTGTTAAACTACACTGACACCCGGAATAAAATTATAGCGTAGAAGAGAACTTCCTTTTTTTTTCTCTCTCGCGCGACATACCGATTCACTTCGCTCGGCGAAGTGTCTCCTCGTACGGTTTCGCGCGCAATTTTGCGACAAAACAAAAAACGCGCGGCGCGATTATATTTACGCTGACGTTTTGCATTTCAATTTTGTACGAGCTCTTTTTTTTTTTTTTGTTTTTCAATCTGTTTCAAAACCGAATCAACAGGGATCGTCGATCTTCAGCGAAGCTAAATGGCTTGTTGACCCCTTTAACGCTTAACAAATTTCGAGTGAAATCCCGTACGAGCGAATTTCGGGGTTAGATAGCAACAATACGAGCGGAGAGATAACCCACCCGGTTGCGGTTCAACCAATAGCCGCTGAAACCAGTGATTCTCAAAATCCTTCTCGCGGATAATGCGACGCGAGAGAAATTACGACGCACTCTCCAAATTGGACGCGATTGATGCGACGTACATGTGTGTGTGTGTGTGTGTGTGTGTGTGTGTATGGTGGGTGTAAGTGGAGCGTATATTACGCAAACATATGGACAAAGATAGAGATATGAAAACTAGAATTCGAAAATTTGAAGATCGCAAAAATATTGTTACACTTTAACCTGGTTTTTTGAACAAAAAAGAGAAAAAAAATTTATTCGATCAAACGCGCAATTAATTGCATAAATTTCTGTTTTCTAGTACGTATTTAATTTTTGTTATTTGCAGGTAATCACAGCTTTAACGCGGCGAAATATATTTTGTAAAATGGTTTTTGACTTGTTTAATATAACGCGTAAAAACAAAACGTAAAACTGAAAACTAAAATAAAACAAAAATAATGGTCGCGAGACTTTGTCCTCCGCGTTCCACGTAAATAATATATTTGTTTCGGTTTAACCTTTTTTTGCCTTGTATTTGTTATCAAACGTTTGTTATTCCGTGCTTAAAAAGCTCGTCCACTTCTCAATTTTTCTTTATCGGTACAACGACCGACAGCCATTAAAGGAAAATTGAACGATATCTCCGATTGTCATAACTGGGTCAAAGGAATTAGCATGTGTATAAGATGGAACGATTCCGCGGAATTATCCGGAAAGGTTCGCTTCTAACAAAGGAATCGCCATAAATCGTCAATCGAGGCGATTCTAGGCGTGAGATTAAATGCAACGAATAGCATAAATCGCCGAAGTATAACGTCTCACGTGTAGAACCGAGAGAGAATATTATCCCTTAGCCTTCCGATAGTCACGTATACGCGTTCCGACGCCAAACAGGGGGAATATATATTTTTCACGACGACGAACGACGCGAAATGTAAACGCTTGTAACTCGTGAACCTTCGAACCTTTTTCGCTCGATACGCGCGGTGTTCTCATTTTGTACACGCACTCAAATCACACACAACGCGATATGTTCGCGCGCCCTCTTCTCGCTCACATTATTATTGTATCTCGCGATCACATCGGACGGTTAAACGATTCGCGAGATGAGATAAAGTGGGTCGCCGATTTGTGTCGTTTCGTGAATTTAAAAGACCGACGACGTTCCGATATATCGGCGTGTTAAAAAAAAAATAAATAAATAAAAAGCGACATTTGACGACGTAGCAGGTGAATCGAATCGCGCCGCAAAAGGTCGTCCCGTCCCGACAGGCAATTAATTTCCTAACGATCCCGGTGTCGGCCGAGCGACGTCAAAACTCACAGCGCGGAACATTAACGCCGGAAAAGGTCGCTCCGCGGTAAAATTCCGCCGTTTATCGGGAGGGAAGGGGGGGGAGAATCGCGAAAACGAGCAAGAGAGACCTTCCGGCGGAAACTGCCATACAGAGAAGCGAGAGTTCCATTAAGCGCGCGCGCGCGCGCGCGTCGTACGACTATTCGTACAGCACACGTGCGCGCGCGAATGACAGCAAAAATTCGCTCGTGCGAATCACTTCGGACCAGTGACATTAATACGTTACACAGGGTGTTATCTGAAATCGCGCGCTCTCTCTTTTCCGTGGCCCAAGCCACGAGGATTTTAACGAACTTCGATCTTTATGACGGTTTTGTTTTTTTTCGCGACATTCGTGGGTATAGGATGAAGTCTGCGTTATTGTTATTATTATACGACACTTTGGACGCGTGTTAGACGTGCCTTGGCGAACACCGTCGGCGGTTCGCGCGACGTGTGTGTTCTTAAGCAACAAGAAGAACGCCCGCGTTAACTGACACGTTACGACGTGCGCGATCGACGCGACTCGTGTTTCCTTAACTTTTGATATTTATAGATTTGCTAAGAGAGAAGAAGGAAAAAAAAAGAACGCGCGCGCGCAAGATGTATCGCGAGATATGTTATATATTCCGCGAATTAACGCAATTATTAATTTTATCCTCTATGCGCATTTCGCGAATTTCTTTGACGTCGTTGCTCGCGGGTTGTGTGTTGCCCACTTCAATTAGCTAAATTACACACAGAGCGAAAGAGATATGCGCCAAGGTGCGCCTATACTCATCAGGGCGCTGCAGGTGTTACGTATTCGCGACATGCGCGTTGAAATTCTCGCAACACTCGCATGACTCCATTTTACGCTCGATTTTATACAATCCCACGCAACAACAACGTTCCGCCGTTTATCATTTCGTTTTTGCGCCTTTTGATAAGAGTTTGTTAACACAACACGTTATATTCCAAATCCACTCTCCCAGTATCACGCTGTGTGTTTGTTTTCCCTGCTTTATATCCTCACCCTTAAGTCTCGCTCTATATATATATATACACATACATACATGCGCGCTAATCATCGTAAAGTTCAGAAGAGAGCTTATCCCCCGTCGAAAACAACGCAAAAAAAGATTGTTCGCGAAACGACGAGAAGGATGTATATATATGTGTGTGTGTGTGTGATTTTGATTAAATTTGACGCGAAGTAAATTTTATCGTAAAATTGCTCACTCGCGAGCGATAAGTCGGCGCGCGTCAAGGCGCAAGTAACGGGTTTCCTCCATCTGCAAAAGACTTAACTCGAATTGGTATCGTAAACGATACGGAACAATGGATCTCGAGTGAAATCGAATAAAACTGTTACACGCGCGCGCGCGCGCGAATGTTATGTATCCTTCTCCGTGAACTTCAATTGCATTTAACTCACTCTCTCTGCTAACCACCCTCGTGTGAAGTTCCGTTTTTACGTCGCGGACACGAAACGCAATAATGTCCCTCTCGCATATTCTTTTATTTTTTTTTATTAGGGCACTTACATTTTTTTTTATAGCGCGCTCTCTCTCCGCGAAATGGAATGCTTGCTCTCGCATCAAGTAACGATATGAACCTTGTTTAACCGGTGACTACGAATAGATATATACGCTGAAAATTTTTCAACTTTGTTCAATCGCAAACTACGGAATTTCAAATTTCAGCGTGTTCTCGTAAATTTCTCTGTTTCGTCTCTTCTTCTCGGTCTTGTCTCGAACGAGGATTTGATTAAACGGGAAAATTGGATTTTCGCGTTGAAAATATCTCTTTTGTTTATCCGCCGTGGTTGGAAAACGTGAACGGAATTGCGCGATGAGTTCGGAAGTGGCTGCGTTCTGCGTGTGTGTATGTGTGTGCGCGCGCGCGCGCTTGGATTTATCACCGACCAATGCGAAAACTATTATTCTCGGTCATTATATTCGTTTGCGGAGAAGCGAATGTTCGTCGAGAAAGAGAGGAAGCAGTTGCGAGAAGTTCGACGTTTTTTTTTGAAACTTTTGCTCCAGTTTCCGCTCGCCAAGGCCGAGCCTCTTCGCAGTGGAATTGTTTTTTTCAGCTGAACGTTATAGGATATCACGAGTCGCGTCTGTCGTAAGTAATAATTAGCGCATTCAAGGTTTGAGAAACGATGAAGATGCGCGTTGCTTTTTCTTGCGAAAATTTTTTCGTCCAATGTCGCGTTTTAAAAAAAAAACAGTACACGATCGAGATTGCGTCGAATCGATACGTACCCACGACGATTCTCGACAACGTTTCATTGCCGGTCGCATCTAAGACCCGAGTAATTCTTGTAAACGAAGCGAACTAACTAATTTTATCCGACCACACATCCGAGAATGATACACGCGCGTGTACGGTCGCGTCGACTTTCGTTTGACGAGAGGAAGACCCATTGTTCACGTCGCAGCGACACTGGAAAAATTTCGGGGCCAATTTTGTCGATCGTCTTTTGTTTTCTCTC